ATGTCAACATATAGATTTGAACAAATAAAATGATATCTTCATATTTCTAATCCAAATAGTTTTAATTTAACTTGGTATTCTAAAGTAGAGCCACTAGCATCATATTTTCGAGATACATTTAAAAAGTTATATGTACCTAGTTCACAAGTTTCTGTAGATGAAATAATGGTTCATTTTTCTGGTTGAAGTATACATACTGTAAAAATGAAAAACAAGCCAATACCTGAAGGCTACAAAATATATTCTCTATGTGATGCTGGATATACATATATATTTATATTTAGTTTTTAAGTTGAAGATAATAAGGAGTTAAAGTTAATCACTAATATTAATAAAGCTGGATGCATAGTATGTCATTTAGCAAATCAGCTTCCTCAGGAAAAAACATTTCATATTTATATGGATAATTATTTTTCAAGTATTTCTCTTTTTAAATATTTATGTGAAAATAATCTAGGTGCATATGGAACTGTTCGAACTAATTCATCAAAATTTTCTAGAGAGTTAAAAATTAATAATACTCATTTATTAGATTGGAATACACTAAGTGGAGTAGTTACAGATAATGTTTTAGCAGTATTATAGATTGATAATGGGCCTGTAACAATGCTTACAACTATTCATGGAATTATGGGTAATGAATGGAAAGTTATTCGAAATTGACGATGCCCTCGTAAAACAAGTACTAATGTAAATAAGGTTCGTCAGGTATTTGGCAATATGTCACGAAAAGCATTGATCTTTTACATTAAAGAACATTTTAAAAGTTTATTGAATCTTATTATTTTTTATTTGCAGCAAAGATACATAAATATTGGTGTAGCGGTTATGTTTGTGTGCATTGTGCCACAAACATGGGGGGTACATTTAGTAAATTTTAATGGTAGCGTGAGATATCTGCCGGGAATCTGAAAATCGGGGCAAATTTGCCCCGAATACGGATTAAGAGATAGCATTAATAAATGCAATTTTATTTAGATCTTTTTTTATACTATATACCTCAGTTGATTTATGGGAAAGTAACTATTGTTGTTCAATTTGTTCCCATTCGGTTTTGTGATTTTTGGTAAAGTGTTCCTTAATTGTACTAACACCTGTACCAGGGCTATAGGGTTGTTGACATATATTGCAAATAATATTCGTATTATTTGCACTCCATGAAAAATAGCTCCAAACTGGATGACATGGTCTGCTCTTTTTTACCGGTCTTGTGGATTCAGATTCATTGTCAGTATCGTTATTATTAGAACTTATCAATTCTTGAACGTTTATTATGATTTATTAGATCAATGGTTGTGTAGATACAATTATTTTATGTAATCGCGAAGATTTATTAAATTTTTGAGTATTTATACGTTATATACAGATACAAAACTTCAGTCATAATTATACAATGTTATATTAGTAATTTTACATATTTAATTTATTGGAATAAATTGAATGATTCATTACAATTAGTATCGCTGACTAAAAATTTAATATAGCAAAATAAATTAAATAATTCACTATTTATGACATAATGCGTATTATTCCCGTGATGAAGCCTAGCTAGTTATATCACGTGCCTTATTTAATAAACGAACTAGTTCCGCTGGTTCAAACTTGACTATAACGGTCTGAGTTTTGAACTCAGTCAAACTAGTTCAGACTAAACGACTTAACATCCCTAACCAGAATTATGAATGATTTCCTCTATTTAAGATCCGCCGATATAGTCTTATGTCGAATTAAGTATAAGCCGTCGGTCGGCTAAATATCAACTACGGCTAATAGTCGACTATAGTCGTAACCGAACCCATCCTTATTTATAACAACGAACGGTTTTATAAAATCAGCGTTTTTAGCAGCAGAAAATAATTTTAGCATTTAGGCATTTTGAAATAGCTTGCGGAAATATAAAAAACATCGGTATGCTATAATGCCATGAATAACCTGTAAATCTGTAATTTATGCACACGTGTGTAGTATAATCCTGAGTTCCTATAGAAGTAAATTTTTTTGCCATATTAGTTATACAATTCTTAATCTGATTAAGATTAAAGTTCAAATAATTGACTCCGTTGTGCGCAGCTTGGCAAAATTTCTAATTGGAATTTTAGAATGAATTCTGTAGGACCATTACCGTTATGCATAATTTTTCTTTGTACAATTTACCCTGTATTTAGTTAGTATATTTTTCCCGAATGATAATACTTCCCTTTTTCGGCAGGGATCAAAATGTACAGTGGTTTGGAACCATGTACAGTGATTTGAAACCATAGATCTTGGCCCAAGACCACCGATATTGGTTTGGGGCCCAGAATTTTGGTTTCAGATCACCGTTATTTGAAATATATAAAATGTCGTATCTAAAGTTACCATCTATTTGAAGTTGCAACTTTAGATATATAAAGTTGCACCTAACCGGAATTATATGTATGAAGATCTAATTTCAGGGGTTTAATTTTAGTCAGATCAACTTTATATATCTAAAGTTGCAACTTCAGATAGATGGTAACTTTAGATACGACACATACTTAATTATTCACACGACCCAATAAAAGGGCAATTGTTGTACGCCTTACAGAAGGGAACTGTCAACTAACTCACCTTCCTTTACACCTTGCAACTCGGACTTATGTTTGTAACCCTGATCTAAATCGACGCTGAAATAAGAGAGTCTCTCCCACAGTTACAAGGACCAACTATTGTTCACACAAAACGGAAATTTTCTATAAAATGACGTCATTTTGCTTACACATCCGAAACTTGATGGCTTTTGACAATGTTATATGAACAGGAGGAACCGTCGATGTTACACAACTGATCTTTCACCCGGTGTGAACCATATAAAAAAAATAATTTACAATACCAGATCATTCCGCTAGTACAT